TGGAACCTCTTCTAACCGGTTTGGTAGATTTGACGAACCGGTTCTACCGAACAGGTGCGAACCGGTAGGAACCGACCTCTGGTCCACGAGAAAGATCCTATTTGTCCAAGCTGTCAAAGTAAATTTTTTTTAAAAGGCCATTTGTGGGAAAGGAGAGGAAAAACTTTAATCTGAACAGGAATCTGTGATTCTAATAATTTTACATAAGTTAAAGTCTCTGGCAGCTTAAGTACAAACCTCATAGAGTGCATTAACCTGCCTGTGTTGTTTTAGTAAGTCGCCTAAATGACCCTGCATGGAGACTCGTGGCTTGAGACTGAAGACAGCCTATTGTCATTTCATACTTGAAAAATAGCTACCTATGCTAACAGACGCTGTGTTTGTTTGTCAAATGCTTTGCGATCTGCAGCTAATTGTCTGAAATGCTATTTTTGGCAGAGATCTTGGAACAGTTGGAGCCGTTGCTATCGACAGTGCAGGAAATGTAGCTTGTGCGACATCAACAGGAGGACTTTCTAACAAACGGCTTGGCCGCGTTGGTGATACAGCGTGCATAGGTAGGGGAAGAACAATACCATAGATGTGCCTTCTCTTTCTCATAAAACGCACACGATCAATAATAATTTCATAATGCTCGGTGACTACATTCCAGAGAGGAATTAAGGGCTGGTAGGTCTTCTGGAGGCCATCCCATAGAACCAGGTCCTTTTAAATCTGAACAGGGAAAGTGGAAAGTACTGGAGTGGAACCACCAAGCAATTGTTTGGCTTGTAGTTCAAACAAAGCTATTTTTATTGAATGGCATGTTTTTTTAAGATGAGACGATTTCATAGCTTTTAGGAAACGCCATATATCAAGATAAGTTGATGGAGTGGAAAGTGTGAAGTATTTTGAGAATGTTTCTTCAGATACCAAAATATCTTTGCTGAACATGCTTTTCCCATGGAAACCGTCTGGTAGGCATTTTTTTCTGCGGAAACATTGGGGGTGTTCCTTTCCATCCTTTACCTTCTCTCTATAGTTTTATGAAAGTTGAAGCAATTGCATTCCACTTGAGTCCTTCATTGTTAATAAAATATAGTTGATATTATCGCTGGCCTGCACTGTGTAGATACATCGATATTGATCGCAGATGTGGGTTACTAAACTGCTGTCTTTTACCTTTTTCTTTCCCAGGAAGTGGTGGTTATGCAGATAATAGTGTTGGTGCCACCTCCACCACTGGCCATGGAGAGAGCATTATGAAAGTGATCTTGGCAAGACTTACTCTTTACCATATGGAGCAAGGTATATCCTGATGTTCCAGAAGTTTTACATTATATAAAGCATGAAGCAGTAGTATTGCACACAATGAGTTGATGAACATTGTCATTGATTAGTTCAGTTTTGAGGATGCATCATGTTGGAAGCACTTTGGACATGCAACAAATACTGATTTTGGAGCTAATACACATAAATTCAATCTGATATAAATTCAAAGGTTTGTACTAGCACAGCGACAGGGGTGTCAAACTCGGTTCACTGACAAATGCGCGCACGACAAAAGCGCGCTGACAAAAGCGCGGCGAGAAAGCCGTGACGTCAAAATCGCGCCCACAATAGCGCGCCGACAACAGCGTGCCAACAAAAGCGTGCCATCAACAAACAATGTGAAAACAAGGTAATAACTCTAAACCTAACCCTAAACCTAACCCTTACCTTAACTCTAATCGCGCTTTTGTGGGCGCGGTTTTGTCAGCGCGCTATTGTGGGCGCGATTTCAACGTGGCTTTCTCGCCGCAGTTTTGTCGGTGCGCCATGCCCACCTTCGGTTTAGTAAAGGGGAAAAAAGTCCATGATAATGACATGATGATGTGACTTTGACACCTCTGTTCTAGCATCTGCTTCTCTTAACCATGTAAAAGTTTGGAGGTCTAATTTGCCATTGAGAGCGAAGTGCCTATAAAGTTTTCCGCTATCCGCAGCCATCATCATTGGCCTTCCTATTTGTCAAATTTTATGTACTTTCTAAAGCCAGTTTATGGTTTTACTGCAAGAGATATCCGAGCTCCTTCAGTTTTTGTTATGTTTTGTTTGGCTATTGAATGATTCTTTTTTTACCTGAATTTTATTTGTTGCCTTGAACACCTACTGGCTTTATCAATATATTTACCACGAAGCTCCTTACACTTTATATTTGTGTAATTGATGGAATTGGCAAAGAAAAAATGAAACAATTTTAATATTTTAGGTTAGTTTTCTCCAAGCTCGTGCTCTCCATGAACCATCCTGGATGGGGAATTATAGGAATTGAAATATATTTGGATGTTACCAAGCTAATGACAGCTGGCTTCAGGGATCATCTCAAAACAGCAGCATTTTTTTCTTTTTAGCTATATTTGGGTTGATCTCAGTTCAATCATCCTAAAGTGACATTCTACTAATATGTACTGGAATAATTCAATAAAAAAAAATAGCTGCATACAATTAAGTGTTGGTCGTAAGTAAAAAAAAGCATGGCTGCAAAATGTTCATGTCATATTTTCACATTCAGCAACAATATGCTTATAACTTTTGAAGGGTTTAGGTTACTCACTGCTGAAGTCTTTTAAACATGTTTTACATTTTTTCCCTCTGACTTCTGTTTAAATATAATAAATTCATTGGAAATGAATGTTCTAATCTGGGTATTGATGTGGAAGAGTGCTATGATAAACAGCTGGCAACAGGATATTCATGTGCCCATAACATAATCTAACTATGGTTGACCGTGGATAATTTTACCTTTTGGGTTATCTAAACTCTTGACTTCTATCACAGTCTGGACACATATTAATCCATTTTTTCCCCTGAATATAGTTAGTAACAGGGAAAAGTGTGATTCTGTGGCTTATTTGTGTTACTCAAGAACTTCAAATAGTTTCACAGAAAACGTTGAGTTGCAAAACAATGTTGGTAGATATATTGTTTCCAAAGCCCTTGATACAGAAGTGGGTTTCTGCCGGTTCGCCCCGGATCGGGTGAACTGGGAAGCTCTGTCCACCCGCCCGGATGCTTATGCGCATGCGTGCACACACGCATGAGAGAACTGGTAGTAAAATGAATTGAAACCCACCACTACCTTGGTAGTTTGGCTATCTTACTAAGGGACACTTGATCTTTATGCAATTTGACAACAACTGTTTAGCTACATTAATTTGGAACATTCCCCCTCGCATGAAAGGTTGTCTGCGTTGGGAGCAGATAACAATTGTGTTTTAAATAAGAGTTTGCTGCCTCAAGAGCCTCTTGGCTTAGCTTTTTTAGTTATGGGATAGAAAGAAGGTTGCTTCTGTTTCTTTGGGAAGATTAGATTAAAATATTCCTCTCTCATATGCTCAAGTCATAATATCTGGCATTTGTTCCTCCAACTTTATCTTCACTGTGATCTTATGGAACAGATTTAGGCTGAGAAAGACTGAGAGTCACAAAGGAAGCTTAATGGCTGGATAGGAATTTCAAATGAATCATGTATGTTTTATATTCCTTATACTGTAGATGACGTTATTTAGCTGACTTTGGCTGAGGCTTGGTTGGAGACCAAGGACTGTAGGAGAGACTGGAAAGTCAAATTTTCTTTAAAAATTGCTTTAATAAAAAGGGAAGAAGGAACGCAGAAAAAAAGTAAATAGAGAAAACAGGCACATGCAAACAATAGCCTTTTCAAAGCATCAGCTCAGTTATTAAATGCAGCAGTAAACCTTGACCGCACAGAATAATATTGGTCAATCTTCCCATTCTTTCGATAGAGATCCTGTTTAGAAGCAGAGAATGAAAACACAAACAGTCTAAGACTGCCAGTGTAGGGTGATGCTGTCTTTTCTTGTGAAAGGACCATCAATTTCACAACATCCCATGTTTAAAATTCTTCTTCATATATTAATAAATATAAATTGAAAAACTGAAAATATAATTCAAACTTGTATTCACATTTAAAATCATACTATCCTTCCCCAAAATAATATTTACCTATTTATGAATGTCAGTGCTAAAACTTGGTCCGTTAAATTACACACAAAGAAACAAGTTAAAACATATGCCCAGTGATAAAGTTAAAAAGCATGAAAGTGTGTGTATTTGCTTCTTTTATGACTGATTTCTAAGACCACTCCCCGGGGGAGAGCCTTCTCTGTTGTAGCTCCAGCCCTCTGGAACGATCTCCCCGTGGAAATCCGGACCCTCACTACCCTCCCGGCCTTCCGCAAAGCCGTTAAGTCCTGGCTGCTCCAGCAGGCCGGAAGGCTTTCGAAATATCCAGCCCCTCGGAAATT